TCCAGAGTGGAAAAAGAACACAATAAAAGCTAGCTATTTAGTGTAGGAGGCTTCGTTTTGAATCGCTTTTTCAATAGTAACTTCAAGGTTATTAGCGCTGTTGTAACTAACATTTCTGCGATTGAAAAAGTACTACTTTTTTTTTGCTTTGTACATGAAATAACCAGCTGCTGGCCTTTTTGGATTTAACGTAGGAAATCTGTTAATCAGCAATATTTGAGCAACTCTGCATGTATTCCTAAAGAAGGTAAGCGAATAAAGCTGCAAAGGTTTTTCCGAGAAAGCCGTTGCTTATTTTTATTTCAAATCTTTCTAAAGTTTTGATGAGTGAAAAGCGACGTTTGTATGAAAAAAGCTCTTTAATGTTAAACCTTCCTATCAAGTCCGAGTTCCCATAAATACTCAATATACAATCAATGAGAAAAATGCAGTTGCGTGTCATTGCTGTTGTTATGACTTCAATTCAGGTCACACATCTTACGGACCACCTCAAAAAACCAGCGAATTCATTTGACTCTGAAGCTACGGACTGTATCTACAGAGCACTAAAGGTACACATCCTAGTTTCGTACTAGACTACCTTTTATTATTGAATTCAGAACCTTTGCTTGTATTGAATACTGTTAGTTGGCAAAAATTTGCGCAACAACCAATTCCGATAGGAATATTAATCAATTTTTTTTCAATACTCTTTGCTCTTCTGACTCACTGTTCGTTTCAGGTTATGGCAAAACACTCACAGAATAACACTCTGGCATCGTTATGTCCATCACCAGTTTCTTCTCCTGTACCGGACAAGGTAAACGACTCTCCGGAAAATGATTTAGGTTGTTGTTTGTTTTCGTAAGTCCTTGGCTCTTTGACCTCATTTGATGAACTTTTTTGATTTTTTTTTACTTAGCGTTTGATGAACTAGCATCAGGAGATCATTTGGAGAGAAACGATTTGTGCTTTAGCCCTACAAGGCAGATCGGAAACCTCGAAGACGGATCGGAGGTATGCAGTTGATCCTTTGTTTTTCATTTGTTCTAAGCATATAAGTTTCAATTCCTCACTATATATCTCCTTCAAATGTGATTTTATATATCCTAGCTAACGCAAAAGCTTGAAGCGGTTGTGCCTAGACTAACTCTGGAATTCTCACCCACTACATCAGTACAGCACACACCATTGCCCACTTCCCGTAGGGACTTAGTACCTCTCAACACACCGAGAATTGGTTCTAATGCTAACGAGCTTTCACATTGCTGTCATCAGTGTCATAATCAACATAGTTACCTTGATGCTTCAGATTTTCTTTATCTATTTCTCTTTGGCTTGGGTACAGCTTTGATTTTTTACTATCTCTATCTTCCCCCTCTTCACGAGGGACCGGTGTATTGATCTCTTAGTTCGCTTGCCACAGTTCTTTCAGACAGGTTTCTAGTTTTTTTCCACGTGTAGAGTGTACAGTTAGTGGTATTAGCTGTTTTCGCGGATAGTTTTAGAATTGTTTCACCTCACAGCTAATCAGATTCGTTATTCATTATCCTCAGCAATTTCTCTAGTACTTTATTCAATAATACACTTAAGAATAGACAGTTGTCTTTGTATAGATTTTGTAAGTTTTGCATATAATCTTGCTTTATAGTGTGTACATGTGCGCTATGTAATAAAACAGTTATTATGAATCAGTTGAAAAGAAATCCACAGAAAGATAGTTTCAAATTTATAAGTACTTTTGTAGTTCCTAATCATACTAAAGTGTTGCATCTAAAGGTATTCGTTTATTAGATGAGGATCCTAAGGAAAAAACATTTTCAAAATAGCAAAATGCTCTAGCAAGACTACGATGTCAACTCATTACGAAAGGGCTTTTAAAATAAGATCAGGAACATCCATTGTTTGATCTTCTACCAACACAATGTCAAAACCATCCAAATAAAGATCCAGTAATTTGTCAGCCTGTAAAAATAATCAAGATTATGAGCATGCTTTAACAGATGAAGGAGATATGTGTAAAAATATTGTTAATAAAAGCACATACGTTGCTATTTAAATAGCCTATCCTTAGCACGGTTCCGCTGTGATTAACTCCTACATCCATATGCAGATCGCCGAGACTGTC